CAAGTAATCTCTAAACACATTGGCCTTGGTCTACTTTAGATGAATGTTTGAGCTATTTTTGCTTGTTTGCTGCAAACTTTCATTAAAGAAATAGTCAAAACAGAACAACCTCACGTTGATTACTTTTTTCTTCCAGAAAAGACGTTTTAATATTTTTATATTTACATAAGCTACTGTTTAAAAGCTTTTTTTCCTTAAAATAATACTTTTATTTAGCAAGGATATACATTAAACGGTTCAAAGGTGACAGTAAAGTTTTTCGTTTCAAATAAATGCTGTTCTTTTGAACTTTCTATTTTTCAAAGAATCCTGAAAAAAAAATTGTTTAAAAAATGCACAACCATTTTCCCTTTTCTGTGATGATGATAAGAAAATGTAATTTGAGCAGCAAATCAGCATTAGAATGATTTCTAAAGGATCATGTGACACTTAAGACTGGAGTAGATGGTTGCTGACAATAGATTTGACATAAATTACATTTTAAAAAATATATTTAAAAACGTTTTCTTTTAATGGAAATAATATTTTAATATTTTTTTATAATATTTTAATATTTTAACTGTAATACAATGACAACAGTGTCAGTTTTGTACATTTTAAGCAGCTACTATAATATAAAAATGTTTCTGCAAAGTAAATATCTGTCTTTATGTTTTAGGAAGAGAGTCCTTTGTAAGTGACCATCATATTTGGAGCTCCTTGGCATTAAAAAGTTTGGAAACCCCTGAATTCATTTGTTCCTGTTACTATAAGTATTCTAAGACATTTCCCGGTTATTCAGTAACATTTTGTGGGCAGAAATGTGTGCTTCGTGGAACAGTTGTGAGCTATGACTCAAATAAGTATCATCGAGCAGAAAGAAATGAGCACAGCTCACCACAATTGCACCTGGGTTTTTCTTGGCTGAGGTAAAGGGCCGAGCTGGAGCTGTTTGAGGCTAATATACTGTGACACTGATGGCGCTCACCATGACCTTTTTGCAGTCGGCTTGTTCTGGCACCACTTCCTGCATGTGTTTGTGTCCCTGGGACAGGCTAATGAGAGAGTGTCTGCACTCCACCCACTCTGAAAGACGAGCCGGATACAGCTGCAGCTGGCAGGGTTCTAATCACACCCTACAGCCTGACACCCCTCTATAAATGTGTGTGCGTTAAACCCTGATATGTCTCCCCTCCCACACAATATCATCGTCGTGTAATGCTAGCTACTGATTTTCCACTGACACAGTTACAAATATGAGCATCACTTTTCTATTTATACTTCCTCAGCAGAGTCTTCCTAGTTTCATTTATTCCCACTTAGAAATTTTGAAGTACTGTATAAATATTTTAGAATACTTTCTCAGATTAAAGACTACTACAAATGAGAACAGAAGGAGTGAGAAGGGGACAGAAGGAGTGACTTAGAATACATATTTCAAAACTCAGATGAAGTCAAAATTGATTTTTAAAATTGATTTCAGTAGTGCAATTTTAAAATGACTAAATAGGAAACTGAAAATAAAGCACTGAAAATAATAGCTCATTCATATAGTATTAATTAGCAAATACTATAATAGTATTAAAATAATAGTAAAATAAAACTGGGCTAAATCCTGCAAATCATGGACTGAATGGCACAGACTGGTATTAAAGCTACACTGTAACTTTTTTGATTACAAAAATAACCAAATGTTATTAAACCACGTCTTTACTTTACCCATAATACACTTTGATAAGTGTATGATAATGATTTATATTTTAGAGCGGTCGGGATGGTTTTTTTGCAGGAAATTGCATACATACACCAATTTGCCCATGTGTGTCACGTCATATCCGTAAACCGAAAAAGGTCAGAGATGGTCTTATTATTGGCATACCAAGGTCTGCAGCTCTGCCATTGTTATGTTTTATTTATAAATTTTTTTTGCTATCCTTGGGGGCTTGCCTTAAAGCGGCTTTGCTCCGAACAGATCAGCGTCTACAAGCAAGAAGGGAAAGTGACAGAGTCTGTAATAAAACCTGAATCAACATCGGCTTGGCTTTTCAGAGGTGGTGAGACATCCGAGATTCAAAAGGTTTTAAAAGTGATCCAGAGATGTCTTTTTTCTTACTTAACAAGTAAAATATTTAATTGAACTTATACATAGTCATGCCTTCTTTATATAACATTTCACTTTATCAGACTAGCATTTATGTCAAATGTTAATTACTTGTAATGTAAACTTTTGTTACATCATTTATTTAAGTCAAAACAACAGCTTGATGCTAGTTTTTAAACCGCTACAGACCTCTCTTCTGAGGTACTATACAGTCAAAGCCCTTGAAAGCTTCAGGAGTCGGAGAAGGTGAGAGGCACCTGTCCTCTCTGGGGGAACATCAGAACTGCCTCATTCACTATTCTTCCCAGCACAGAGGCGGTCGCCACCTGCTTCAGTCCCATTCTCTATCGGACCATGACTGTGCCTGGTTCCTCTCTCTTCATTAACGCATCGGCCTGCTGCTAATAACACTTTGGTGACATCTGTTCCCTCATGTGTTTTTCAACCGTAAGCGCAAAAGATAACAGCTGTGATTAATGTACAAGGGTTGAAAATCGAATTGACTGAGAATGTAGTTCTATGGCTGTATCTTCGTCTGTTCTTTACATCGTCAGATACAGCTGTAATTTCTGATAATAGATACTGTTACAATTAGAAAAAGTGAACTAGTAAAAATTGACCGTATTGTTTTCTTAAAGCATTTTCCTGTGATATTATAAATATTTCATTGACTCATTCAGCGAGTCATTACAAATGAAGAAGTTGTTTGTCTTTATAACCTTTAATCAAAATGCCACAAAATTGTCCATGTGGGCTATTGGATTTAGGCATCATTTTATTTCATTTTGATTTGCATTGGCTCCCTTCTGGTATGTACTGTAACACCCACTTTTCACCATTCAGTCGATTCTCACAATCCATTTTTGTCCTGTTTAATATTCTGTTTCACCCGGAAATACACTAACCTACAGTAAAATATACAAAGCCCTGCACATGCCATACAGGGTAAAAACATCTGTATTGTGGCCACAAATTAAGAATATGTTTCCACAACTTTTTAATTCATGGCCATATTTTAATCATTTGTTCTCTTGTTTCAATTAAATTGTGGCTGTAATATAAATAACATTAAAATAAGGCAACAATTTAGAGCAATGAAGCCAAGATTTAAACAAGGGAACAAATTACACTGAACAAAATTATAAACGCAACACTTTTGTTTTTGCCCCCATTTTTCATGAGCTGAACTCAAAGATCTAAGACTTTTTCCATGTACACAAAAGGCCTATTTCTCTCAAATATTGTTCACAAATCTGTCTAAATCTGTGTTAGTGAGCACTTCTCCTTTGCCGAGATAATCCATCAACCTCACAGGTAAAGCGCGTACAATGTGCGCATCCGTTGTGCAGGCTGTGACGCCAGGTTGCTTCAGGCTTCAAGCGCATCATTAAGTGAAATAAATTTTCCCCCCTCATGTCAAGTGCTGGTATCCCTAAAAATTGGCTGGAAACAGGAAATTCTGTTTTAGCTAATAAAAAGAGATTTTTTAGTGCTATGCTATGCAAGCAGGATATGCTATTAGCTTGCTAGCCTAACTGAAAAATGAACTATTTTTAACTTCCATAAAATAGCATAAGTTACGCACTAAAAAGACACTGTTTTTGCTCTTGCGTTTATAGTAATTTATTCAGTATGTCGCTATTTAACCTGCAAACGTTCTCCATGCTGCACTGCTGAGGACGGATGAATTGAAACATGCCCTTCTGTGGCTGTCCTCCAGCTTACAAGGATTGAGAGGATGGTCTTTCCCTGTGAGAGACGCAGTCGTGTGTAAAAAGAATATATTCTGTTTTGCAGCTCCTCTGTGCAAGTGCAAGTGGATTACACTGTATGACTGAAATGTTGAGGTTCGATGACAGGTTGACAGGTTTATCAGGGTTATCACAGATTTTTATGAGAAAGAATAACACATAAACCGTTGCAGAACAGAGCTGTTCAGTCATTATGCTAATTTGCTCACCGGAAGGGCTAATTCTCCATGGGTTCCCTCTAGAATTTCCTGTGGGTTTTTAGAGAAGTTTTTTTTATTTTTTTTTTTATTTTGGTTTACAGTTATGAGTAAAATAAGGTCTGTGGTTGACATTACTTGGATCTTTTGTTCTACATCATAATTGCTAACAAGTTGCTATTCAACGACTTAAAACACCACAAGGATGCGAGTTTACATGCTTGACAAATTGCAGTTTAGCAATGTATTAGCAAAGTGTTTTTGTTGCATTTGATCATTTAGTAAACTCCATTCTGCATATTTTCGCTCACAATTTAAGTAAGACCTGTGATTAATGTTACTGAGACTTTAATGTTTTGTTATATAACATGAATTGCCAATTAAGTTGCTAACAAGCTGCTATATTATGACTTCAAACACCACAAGGATGTGAGTTTACATGCTTGATGAATTGTAGTTTAGCAACATATTAGCAAAAAATGTTTTTACATTATGTATAGTCATTTAGCGAACTCATTTTACCATGTTTTACTCCATTCTGAAGATTTTTGCTCACAATTTATGAGTAAAATAAGACCTGTCATTAACTTTACTCTGAGAGACTTTCACATTTGGTTCTATAATGTAAATTACAAATTAAATACTAGCAAGGTGCTATATAAGGACTTCAAACACCACAATGATGTGAGTTTATATGCTTGATAAATTGTAGTTTAGCAATGTATTAGGAAAGTATGCTTTTGCTTAACAGTTAGTCATTTAGAAGACACATTTTTACCATGTTTACCTCCATTCTTCAGATTATTGCTCACAATCTCTACTCATAAAACAGTTTTATGAGTAAGCTAAGGCTTGTGGTTAACATTACTTGAAGAAACTTTCATGTTTTACTCTACAGCATGAAATACAAACTATTTTGCTAAAGAGAAAGTAAAAAGATAATTTTAAGTAACTTTGTGATGATCATTTCAGGAACTTCTACTACATCACAATGCTGAGAGACCCTGTGTCACGTTACCTGAGTGAATGGAAGCATGTGCAGCGTGGCGCCACCTGGAAGACTTCCCTTCACATGTGTGATGGTCGCTCGCCCACACAGGATGAGCTGCCCACCTGTTATAACGGAGTCGACTGGTCAGGGGTCACACTGCACGAGTTCATGGACTGCCCTTCAAACCTGGCCAACAACCGGCAGGTGCGCATGCTGGCCGATCTCAGCCTGGTTGGCTGCTACAACCTCTCCACCATGAACGAGAGCGAACGCAACCCCATTCTCCTGGCCAGTGCCAAGAGTAACCTGAAGAACATGGCCTTCTACGGCCTGACAGAGTTCCAGCGCAAGACGCAGTACCTGTTCGAGCGCACTTTCCGTCTGCAGTTCATTTCCGCCTTCACGCAGATCAACAGCACGCGTGCCGCCAATGTGGATCTGCGTGACGACATGCGCAGACGCATTGAGCAACTGAATTTCCTGGATATGCAGTTGTACGAGTTCGCCAAGGAACTTTTCCTGCACAGATACCAGTTTATCCGTCAGCGTGAGCGGCAGGAGGAGAGATTGAAGAGGCGGGAAGAGAGACGCTGGCTCAGGGAGCGCCGAGTCAACCAGAGTAGACAGTCCAGTGTGGGAAACCAATCTCAGGTCACCACAACTGAGGACTATGCCAGCCAAGTGGTCCATTGGTGATTCCTCTTGGAAACATGCACTAGGATACAGAGAACATAATGGCTCACTAGAGGAAGAGTAGGTCATGGGTTCTTTCTTTCAGTTTAGCACTCTAAGTTTCCCTGTTGCACTGCAAAAAATCATTGCCTTGAGCAGTATTTTTGACTTATTTTCTGGAAAAAAAAATACATAAATAAAATTACCTGAAAAGCAAACACACACACACACACACATATATATATATATATATATATATATAGCCCTATATGTAGTGGCATGCTTAAATCAACAAAAAGTAAACTTGAATTTGAAGATAAAATACTGTTTAAAAGTTTGGGGTCAGTACTTTTTTATGTTTTTGAAAGAAAGTTTTTAAGCTCACCAATGCTGCATTTTTTAAATCAAAAGCTAGTAAAAACTGTAGTATGTGAAATACTGTTACAATAAAAAAAAAAACCCGTTTATTATTTAAATATACATTTAATATATTTAAAATTTCATTTATTCTTGTGATGTCACAGGAGTGTCACATTATCCTTCAGAAATCATTATAATATGCTGATTTGGTGACAAAAAACATTTCTAATTAACAATGTTGAAAGCAGTTGTGCTGCTTAATATTTTTGTGTAAACTGTGAGACTTTTTTTCAGGATTCTTTGATTTATATAGTTCAAAAGAACAGCATTTATTTGAAATAGAATTTTTTGTAACTTTATAAATTTATTTCTTGTCACTTTTGTTTAATCTATTGCATCCTTGCTGAATAAAATTATTAATTTCTTTAAAAAAATGCTGACCCCAAACTTTTGAATGGTGGTGAATATTCTCTGAGGAGTGTTAATATTTTGCTTTGCACAAAACATATTAAACTTTATATTTTGTCATTGTGCATGGTACAAGTACAAAGCCAGTCAAATGCAGCAACTTTTCAGTAACGAACATTTCTACATAAGTTCTAATTTAGCTCTCAGATTTTTCTTATTTCTTGTTTCAAGGGTTTAAATAGATTTACTGTAAATCATGACAAAAATACTGATTAAGGAAATGTTTTTTTTTTTTTGCAGTGTGGTTTATTCAAGATTTCTGCTGATTCCTTTGCAATGAAATTGAGACAGCGATGTAGATATACAGTAGACTGCAAACCAATTGCTGAAAAAGGATGATCTGTGTTCAATCGCCATGCAACCTCCAACATCTTTGTGAAGGAACAACAAACCCTACACCACAGAGGTACAGCACTGGCAGTGTTACGGGTGTACACTCAATATGTGTTCTTGCATTCAAAAACAGTGAACGGAATAAAATGCTGACATGTTTTTAATGCTCAGGCCTGTTGCCAGTAAAGATTCTCAGTAGACACTCTATCAGAGCTCTCTCTGTCTTTAAAAGAAGCAAACTTAGAGCGTTGAGACAGTCTGTACTCTACTGAGAATCTCTAGAATCTCTAGTAGTAGTTTCTCAATGATATGTTGTAAAAGTCAGGGTTAGCAGACGCCGCCACAACAAGAGCCTCATCTGTGACATACAGTAGTAGCACAGAAATGTTACAGTTGCTACTGTAAACACTATAAGATATTTCAAATGTTTTTTTCCTTCAGCTTTTTCGTTTTTGTCAAGTATGATTTATGGGAGTTGCATAAGAACATTTAAAAAAAAAAGTATAATAATTATAATAAAAACAGTGCTCGCCATGATTTACAAATGCAAATATAAGTATGAAAGAAAAACATCCATCCAGCTCACTAAGCCATAACTTAGTAATAAGTGGACATTTACTGAATGGTTTTAAAACTGAGATTGTGTAAGAGATGGAACACTTCAATTTTTCACTTAAAACAATGCTTATGACTTGAGAGATGATGCAAATAATGAAGGCAAAACAAGTTACAAATAGCACAGTTGGAATGTGAAAACACTTCATGCTTGTATGCCCCCTAAAGGTGAAAGAAAATTCACATCACAAGAAGAAGAAGGAAAAAAAAAAGATTGTACTCAGTTAATAATAGGCCAATTGCTTGTCTCAGTAGTTCACATTTGACCTGGAATGGAGCATTATAAATACTATAGGAATATCTGTACACAGGATGAATCCAATATGAACTGCATTATGCAGCAAGAGAGAAGTGTGTGTTTGTTTCAGGAAGACTGAATGAATGGGTGAGTATTTGTTTCTTCCCCAATGCCGTTTCACATATTTCTGTAGTCCTCACTAAAACTTGGACTGTCTGGGAGAATTTTTCTGAAGCTAGAACTTCCAGGTCAAAGGGAATGAAGCACTTGTGGTTTTTACATCCTTGAACAACTGGCAGGTTAAAAGAAAGCATTTTCTGGTCTGCTTTGTGGCACCTTTTAAAAACTAGATCCTCATATGATTTGTGCAAATGGATAACAGATATAAACAGTGCTGATATCAATCACATCCAAACAAAACTGAGGATAATGGGTTATCTTCTATCCCTAAAATAAATAAAAAAATCTGTATTGCTCATTGTGGTTATGGAGAACATGTAAATGCTAAAGAAATGTATGATTTTAGACCAAAAAAGACTATAGAAGTTTACTGTTTTGTTTTGTTTGTATGTTGTTCCATATGTTTTTAACTTGAATCTGTGCTGCTATGTGTGTGTGTGTGTGTGTGTGTGTTTATTATTGTTATTATTATTTGAGTCTTTATTGTGTGAGGCCAGAAGACCTGAGATTATGTACCAATGCAAGTTTGTGTGTATGTATGTGTGTGTGATCTTAAATGAATATAAGTGTTGCAATGTGTTTTAATTGCTTTGTTCACTTAAGTGCAATATGATATTAAAAACAACCCCTTATGGGAAATGCAGATGTTAATAAGTATACATTTAGCTGTTTTGGCTTGTTTGATAAATATTACTTTTAATTTAGCCCTAATATTATTAATTTCATTCATATTCACATAAAGTACAATATGATTTTATTTAAAAATGTGATGCTCAAATATAATATATTTCTCTAAAATTTTTAATTATATTGACCCAGGGGGTGAAGCATGAAGTTTTTTTCATGCTATGTATTTCACATGGAATTCAATGAAGTTTTAGTTTTGCTCAAAGGTCTGGCATCACTTGTTTACAGGTGCCATGTGGTGTGATATTTTGTATCTAATGTAATTGTGTTTTTACAAAAAGTGTGGCTTAAGTGTCCAAATACGTTTGGGGGCCACAGTGGGAAAAATCAAAGGTGCTATAGTCTCTTTTTGTGATTCAACCACTAGAGGGCAGAGAAACTCCACCAATGTTTTAATGTTACCCATTCTTTACACAGGGTTAAGAATGCTGTAAATGTGTGAACCCTTTGAAAATGTCTGCATTTCTGCATTGATTGCTCTTCTGCATTTCTGCATTGATTGCTCATAAAATGTGTTCTGATATTAATTTAAATCTGGCTCAACTAAAAACACTAACAACTGTACTTTTCACATTTTTACTGAATAATTGTATTTAAATAGCTTTACAGTCTATTGAAGTATTTACCTTAAAAAGTTATAAACCTAAACAAATTGTGCTTCTGGCATGTTTAAAATGATGTCCATTCACATGAGATGAAGACTCCAGAAAAATCAGTTTTATTCTGTACAATGGTGGTCCCCACTCCTGACCAGCTGAACACTTACTTTACCACAGTACTATTTGTTGTAGATTAAGTTAATCATGGTGACAAATACACGTGATTTTTGTGGTATTTCTAAAATAGAGCTGGTAACTGAAAAACTCAAAACTGAAAAACATTACTAGTGCATCTTTAAAAAATATTGTTGGAGTGACCTGCTAGAGAAAGGTCATAGGAATCAACCTGCACTAGGAAATTACATTCCACAATGATTGATGCATTTCAGGTAATTTAGCAGAATGAAAAGATGTCATGTTACTGATTGATTCATTCACCGGTTACCTGAAAACCATTTTCCCCCATGGTCTGCAATGACATATCTTGATTGTGTCCTCAGTGACAGAAATTGTGTCATGCAATTGTCAGAAATATTTTCATTAAAAGCTTTTAATGTCTTTGTTACTCACGCGTGAGGGGGGGATTTACTCTTTTATCTGAGTTAAAAAGGCACCTGACATTGTTTTTGACTTTTTTTTTTGTGATTGTAAATGTTATGTTATGCCTACAACAATGTCAATAATTAACCTGCAGTATTAACAGATGAACTTTGCCATTGTTATTTCTGTGCAAGTTTCCTTTAACCATCACCATATGCACAGGAGACACAATAGAGCTGTTTAGTCACAAGGTCAATTTGCTAATTAGGCTAGCATTTCTTTAGGAATATTTATATGGCATTTTTGTTTTATTGGTAAGGTCAGTGTTAACATTTACATTTCATTTTACAACATAAGTTAAATACATAGATAGGAATTTCGAAACTATTGTGTGCTTTAAAAGAACATTGTTGCTAAATCCGAACTACAAGAAGGAAATTTGTTTGACTGTCTAGTTTGTGCTTGACTGGACAATCTTATTTAGCACCTTGCTAGCAATTTAAGTTTAAATCACAGTTTCTAAATTCCTGTTTGAGATTTTTATTTTAGTCATCAATGAAAACCAGTATTCTACTGTACAGTACAAACTATTTGTCATCCATACTAATCTCTTCAAACAATGCAATGATATTACCATAGTAGAAGCATAAGTCCAAACATGGCAATACCATTGCATGCCTATAGTGGAGGGGATTTTGATTCTCTTGATCTCAGTGACTCAAATCCTTTGAAAAAGATTCAGTCAGTGGCGCTTAAAGGGTTAGTTCACACAAAAATGAAAATTAGCCCATAAATTAAGCATATCCGGGCGGATGTCGTGAGTTCAGCGTTGCGCATGCGCCGGTGAGTCTCGTGAAAACCAACGTTTGTTAACAGGAGCAAAGAGTTTCCTTACTTTATCAAAGGAAACCCAGTCTCCTCTTGACTTATATCGAAATCCTCCGACATTCTTCTTTACAAATCCTCGTTTTGTACTTCTAATTAGTGACCGTTGTTTTGTTTTAATCTCTCCCCTGCGCTTCCGCGTGCGTCACTTCTGAGCGGCGCATGCGCAAAGCTGACCTCATACGTTCAAAGACAATTTTCTATATAACTCCGACTGCATTCGTCTGAAAGAAGAAAGTCATATACACCTAGGATGACTTGAGGGTGAGTAATTTATGGACTAATTTTAATTTTTGGGTGAACTAACCCTTTAATGCAGATTGCATGTGAGTGGGTACAAGAGAGTGTAACTACAAATGAATAATTGAGTCAACACAATTGATATGATGAACTGAACAAACAATATTGATTAGCAGATGCTTGTGTATAAAGGATGTGCTTTGTTCATTTCCACACCAATTGTCCTTTTATGTATGTAGTCTTCTGCCTTATAAAAGGACCTCATTTAAGATGGTTTTGACAGTCCTCACAAACATTACAATGGAGCAACACATCTTAACATCAGACAGCAATGTTCACTGTTGATTGCTGAAAACTGGCTGAATTGAAGGAATGTCAGGCTGCTTATAGTAATACTTCCTTACTGTAATGTAATAGCCTATCTAATGTCTACTGTAGTACTTCTGGGATTGAAATAGCTCCCCATAAAAACCAGTGTGTTTCCTTGTCTGTGAAGATTATTAGTCATTCAGGTAATCGAAGGATGTCTTGTTTTGTGTGGCCACTCATCCGTGGAGTGGTGGAGGATAAGATTTCCCAAGAGTGGATGAAGTCTCACGGATGAGTGGAGAAACTTTTTAAATGAATAGAAAAGCATCTTACCCAAATGACCCAGAATTATTTCTACATTAAGTGTTTCAAGTAAAACATACATAAATATTTTTGTAACTTTAAATTCAAATTTTTTTCTTGGGGTCTGTTATGTATATATGTACACATTTTAATAATTTAGATATTTATTTAACAATTAATATGTAACAGTTTAATAGTTTTTATATGTTACTTATTAATTGTTGGACAGTAATATATATTTTCAAAAAAATTTCATAATATGTACAGTACAAGATAAAACAAAGCAGCAGTAATACAGTAGTTAAAATGCTATTATCCACTATTTTACATTTTGTACAAGTCTATGTAAAATTATACCAGTATTAATATCAATATATACATAAAGTTCAAGTTTGGGGTCAGTAAGATTTTTCTTTTCAAAGAAATTAATCCTTTTTTCAAGCAAGGATGCATTAAATTGATAGGAAGTGACAGTAAACACATGTATAATGTTACTAAAGATTTTCATTTTAAATAAAAGCTGTTCTTTTGAACATTTTATTAATCAAAGAAAAAATTTATTATGGTTTCCACACAAATATTAAGTAGGACAACTGTTTTCAACATTGGTAATAAGAAAAAAGGTTTCCAATATTAAAATGATTTTTAAAGGATCATGTGACTGAACACTGGACCTCAGCTTTACCATGACAGGAATAAATTACAAGTTTTTACATTTCCACATTATTACTGTTTTTATCAAAAAGAGGCAGCCTTGGTGAGCATAAAATACTTAATCCAAAAAGCATAAAAAAATCTCACCAACCCCAAACTTTTTTATAGTGTGTTTATATATAGTACATACACAGTATGCACACACTTCATAATATATAGACACTTAATGTATCAGATCTTCAGAATGTCTGTTTTTGACATGTTTGGAGAGTGGATTACAGATATTGTGCTGCTTGTGTGCTCCTTCCCATGCACAAAGCTCCAGAAAGCCTGTTGAAACTTGTCTCCTGCCAATGTATAAAGTGCTAGGTTGAAGAAGGTGTTGAGGCCAGCCAGGGGTCGTGACAATATGTAGGCTGCATGGATGCCTCTCCTCTGCATGCATGACACATCAGTTCTGCGCAGGCTATCCACCCTCAGTAAACGCATGATATGATATGGCAAGAAGCACAGCACAAACACGACCAGAATCAGAATGGAAAGCATGCGAACTCTGGAACGACTCTGCCTGCTTCTGGATACGCTGCTGCCCAGAGAGCCTGCAATGTGCGTGTAGCTCCAGCACACCACCAGCAATGGCAATACATATCCAAACACTGTGAGCATCCAACCGTACCACCACACCACCTGTGGATCATTACTGGCGAAATCAAGGCATTTTGTCAAGTTGTCCTTCTGTTGTACTGTAATCATCCCCAGCATCGGGCCAATTTCCACCAGGGAAACGGCCCAGACTGCCAGACAAGCCAAAGTGCCCCATATTTTCCTCCGAATCTCAGCAGCCTTCAGTGGGTACACCACTGCAATGTAACGGAAGATGCTGAGGCAGGTTAGGAAGAGGATACTGCCGTAGAGGTTGTAGTAGAAGCAGAAGCGAATGCAACGGCACATGAACTCTCCAAAGGTCCAGTTTCTGGTAATGTAAAACTGGACCAGCACAGGTAAACTCAACGCATACAGCATATCAGCTACTGCCAGATTCACCATTATAATGCTGCTGCTCTTCCAGGGCCTTAGTTTTGCCAGGTAAATGAC